CAAACCCGCCTCCACCATGGAAACGACAGTTTCATCTCTTTGCCGCTTCATCGCCTTCCAACACAGTCGCGTCCTCCTTGGCGCTGGCAGTCTGGAGCCGTTCGGTGGTGGCTTGTCGTATCGCGGGCCTGCTGCAGCACGAGGATCGTCGGGTCGATCTCCCTGTCGTAGTCCGGGGCCCAAAACAACGGCTTCTGGCTCTTCTTTCTGGGTGACACCGAGCAGCTGCTTGAGATTCCCCACTTATTTTTCGAGCGCGTTGATCCTCTCATCCTGCTCGTCGATCCTGCGAATGACTGCGGCGAAGCGGCTTTCGATGCTGAGGTCAAGGCTCTGGCAATGCTGGGCGAAAGACGCGCCAACGCTGCCGAGCTGTGCCAGCATCCCCTGGGGCGGCCATGGCATCAGCCTTGGACTTCCCGAAGTACTCCTCAAGCTCGTGCAGACTCCTCTGGGGGGGCGACAACAAGAAGAGCGGCAGGAGGAATGCGGGTACCAGAGCCTGGCGAGCCAGTCCCTGCACGAGGCGAAACACAACGGGGCTGCTTCTGCGGCGGCGGTTGTGGGAGCTCTCCATATCCAGGTCTCTCAAACCTTTCACTGGCGGGCATCGCGGCATCCTGCTAAAACTGATTGGCGGACACCCAAACGTGATGTGGCAGTGAATGAAACAGATGGGTAAAACAAAAAAACGAAGGGGCCACCCTCAGCAACGCCGCTATCTGTGGGGCCCCCGAGCATGATGAACTGGCCAGCTGCCTTGAGCCAAGATGGATACGGAAAATGATCGTCCTCCTCCTCCTCCTTTCCTGCTCCTCCTCCTCCTCCTCCTCCTCCTCCTCCTCCTCCTCCCCAACCCTTGCTCCGCCTGCCGCTCCCCCATCCCACGAACCAACAGAAACGCTCGAGCCCTTCCGCGCACACCTGCGAGCCCTTCGGAAGTAGAGGAGGAGGAGGAGGAGGAGGAGGAGGAGGAGGAGGAGGAGGAGGAGGAGGAGGAGGAAAAACGCCACATGCACTCGCATCAGGCCTTTTCAACGTTCAAAGGATGAAGACGAGGAGGAGGAGGAGGAGGAGGAGGAGGAGGAGGAGAAAGACGACTACCCGAACACGGGGTCCCTGGATGTCCCGACCCGTTCCTCAGGTCCAGCTTCATCCCGACTCATTTTTCGACCGTCCTTGGGACCAGCGAGGGCCCCTAGAGGCCGAAAGAGAAGAGAGACCTCCGCCTTGTTTCTTTCAATACGCTGGATGAGACGAACGTCGACGGTGACGACCGACGAGCGACGACGACGGGCGGCGTCCTCCTCGGCGGTCGTCTACAGCGATGGCAACGACGACGACGACGACGACGACGGCGTCGAGAAGTGTCGACGATGACGACGAGCGCGACAAGCGAGACGAGCGACGACGACGACGACGACCGCGGCGACGACAAGCGACGAGCGACGACGAGCGACGACTGACGAGCGACGAGCGACGACGAGCGACGAACGACGAGCGACGGCGGGCGGCGTCCTCCTCGGCGGGCGTCCACAGCGCCGGGACCCCGCGCGCCACGGCCGCCTCCGCGCCCTCGAGGATCCTCAGCGCCTGCCGGACGAGCTGCGGGCAGACGTCCTGCGGCGGGCGGCGCCGCCCACCCCTTCTCGCTCCCAGCCCCATCACGCCGCCCTCGCTTCCCAGACCTGCGACGATTCCCTACGATGCGGTTCTGGTTACTACTGGGACGCTTCCGCCTCTTGTTCTCATATGTTCATGCCTACTCGTAGTACGACTCACTCACACTCAGACTGAGTCACACTCAGACTCAGGCGTACTCGTGCCCACTCGTACAAAAGTTCCTAGTCCAATTCAAGCTTACTCGTACTAAGACTTCCTCGTACTTAGATCATCGCACTCCTGTCTGTTGGTGTGTTGGTTGCCCAGTGCTTTCCGCGATACAGCAGGCGTAGCACTTAGGCATCCAAAGGGAGACCGCCAGGGTTGGGGACACTCCATGATACGCGCTCAGAATATGGGGATGTCTCAAGCGGTTTGCTTGTTTCGACGACTCGCACTCCTGTCTGTTGGTGGTCTAGTGCTCAAAGATAGGCGTCGCACTTGGGCACCCCAGGGAGAAACGCCAGGGGTGGAGGCACTCCAGGGATCGCGCTCAGATTGTGGGATGTCTTTGGCGGGTTGCTGATTTCGGCGCCTCGGACTCATTCCCTACCTAGGCTCTGCCTAGAAAGGTTCTTACTCGCTTGGCTTAAAAGGGCCGGGCAGTGCAAACCGCCCCGGGCGGTTCCCCCAGTCCCCTGGGAGCCAAGCAAAAGCAACAGCAAAGGTAAACGCAAACGCGCGGTTCCCTCAGTTGCGCTCCCTGGGTGCCAAGCAACAGCAAAGGCAAAGGCAAAAGTGAAGGCAAAAGCGAAGGCAAAGCAAAAGCATAGCATAGCATAGCATAGCATAGCATAGCGCAGCATAGCATAGCATAGCATAGCATAACATAGTATAGCCTCTCTCATGGCATAGCATAGCGTAGCATAGCGGATCCGGAACATTCTCAAGCACACCCGGTGAGCGAATGCAGAAACATGCGTGTGTGCGTGTCTGTGCGCAGGCAAAGCAAAAGTAAAACCAAGCAAAAACAACAATTATCCCAGTGCGACCCTACCTAGGAGTTGGAGCTTCTAGGAAAGCAACATTAGTGGGAGCGGTAAACGCCGTCCTGCTCCTTCTCCTCATCGTCGTAGTTGTAGCAGTAGCGGTAGTAGTAGTAGTAGTAGTAGTAGTAGTAGTAGTAGTAGTAGTAGTAGTAGTAGTAGTAGTACTAGTAGTAGTAGTAGTAGTAGTAGTAGTAGTAGTAGTAGTAGTAGTAGTAGTAGTAGTAGTAGTAGTAGTAGTAGAAGTAGTAGCAGTTGTAGTAGTAGTAGTAGCAGCAGTAGTAGTAGTAGTAGTAGTAGTAGTAGTAGTAGTAGTAGTAGTAGTGGATGCTGCGCTATGCTTTGATATGCTATGATATGCTCTGCTCCGCTCTGCTCTCCTATGCTGTGCTATGCTATGCTGCGCAATGCTATGCTGGGCTATGCTAGGCTAGGCTAGGCTAGGCTTTGCTATGCTATGCTGCGCTATGCTATGCTGCGCTATGCTATGCTATGCTATGCTATGCTTTTGCTTTGCCTTCGCTTTTGCCTTCACTTTTGCCTTTGCCTTTGCTGTTGCTTGGCACCCAGGGAGCGCAACTGGGGGAACCGCGCGTTTGCTTTCACCTTTGCTGTTGCTTTTGCTTGGCTCCTAGGGGACTGGGGGAACCGCCCGGGGCGGTTTGCACTTCCCGGCCCCTTTAAGCTACAGAGTGAGAACCCTTCTAGGCAGAGCCTAGGTAGGGAACAAAAGCAAAGCAAAAGCAACAGCAACAACAAAAGCAAAAGCAAAGGCAAAGGCAAAAGCAAAGGCAAGAGCAAAAGCGAAGGCAATGCAAAGCAAAAGCAAAACCAATGCGAAAGTGTAGATGTAGATGTAGATGTAGATGTAGGTGTAGGTGTAGGTGTAGATGTGGATGTAGGTGTAGGTGTAGATGTAGATGTGGATGTAGGTGTAGATGCAGGTGTAGAGGTAGATGTATATGTGAGTCTCGCTGTTGATGTAGATGTAGATGTAGATGTAGATGTAGGTGTAGATGTAGATGTAACTGTAGGTGTAGATGTAGGTCTAGATGTAGATGTAGGTGTCGATGTAGATGTAGGTGTAGATATATATGTAGATGTAAAGAACTCCCCAGTGCCCCGCCCTCATCTCCGTGCCTGCTTGCTTTTGCTGCTGTCTCGGCGACTTGCTGCCTGCTTCTGCTGCTGCTTCACTTACGGCGTGGCGTCGGCGGTTCTGGCGCTACTACTACTACTACTACTACTACTACTACTACTACTACTACTACTACTACTACTACTACTACTACTACTACTACTACTACTACTACTACTACTACTACTACTACTACTACTACTACTAACTACTACTACTACTACTACTAACTACTACTCAACTACAACTACAACTACAACTACAACTACAACTACAACTACAACTACAACTACAACTACAACTACAACTACAACTACTACTACTACTACTACTACTACTACTACTACTACTACTACCGCTACTGCTACTGCTACAACTACGACGATGGGGAGAAGGAGGAGGACAGCGTTTACCGCTCCTACTAATGTTGCTTTCCTAGAGGCTCCAACTCCTAGGTAGGGTCGCACTGGAATCATTTCTTTTAGTGGTCCAGTGCTCACAACGATAGAGCAGGTGTGGCAAGTGGGCACCCCAAGGGGGAGCAGCCAGGGTGGGAGCACTCCCCTGTGCGCGGCCAGATTGTGGGGATGTCGCAGGGGGAGGCGGAGGAGGAGGAGGAGAAGGAAGAGGAGGAGAAGGAGGAGGAGAAGGAGGAGGGGGAGGTAGGAAGGGAGACAAAAAAAAAGCTCACCGACTGTTCGTCAGCTGGCGTCGTCGTCGCTGTCTCTTCTCGTAGCCGCCACCATCGTCATCGTCGTCGTCGTGCCCGTCGCCCATTCGCATTCGCTCTCACGCCCAGACGCTCCCAGCCAGACGCTCACAACGGGACGTGCCAGAAACTGAAATGCACAAATGAGTTCCAATCAGGCAAGCTTTTCCGCGATTCCGGCATCCCGGGGCCCGTTTTCGGGACCATGGGGCCATCAAACTCTGAGATTGAGCGAAAAACTTGCCCCGGGGACCCCTGGGGGCGCGCTTTTACGCAACCATGTCGACCGATGTCGAGGACCGCGTCCTCCCTCCTCATCAGCTCCCTCATCTTCCTTTCCCTCGCCTCTCTCCACCTCCCTTCCCCTTCCCCACTGCTTCGATTTCCCATCCCATATACTCGAAGCTGGGACAAAAGAACATTCCTCAAAAACACCAGACCGTCCGCCGGCCGAAATACACAGAACATCTAAGGGTACCCTCCCAAGGGTGCACGAGAAAATCCAAGGGTACCCTCCCCGAGACGACCTCGATCTTACACCTCGGTCCGATTGCATTGTGCCCGCTCTCGCGACTGCGACACGCTGGGGCGTGCCAGGTTACACACACAAACACACACACACATGTTGTCTGGTGTGGTTTCTGGCCCAGGGCTCCCTTCTCAGCCCATTCGGCGTCTGAGTTCACGCGGCCGACCTTTGGGCCACCGAACAGGCTTGGTTCACACAAGGTCGTGGACATCGAGCTCGCTCGGCTGCCGAGAGGATCTCGATCGTGAAGCCGCTCGGCGGCCGAACGGCTCTTGAGCCGAACGGGCCCAGAAGGGGGCGCTGGGGAGCTCCTGTTTTGTAATGTTTCTCCTCCTCCTCCTCCTCCTCGCTCGCTCGCTCGCTCGCTCGCTACTTGGGGCTTAGAAGTTTGAACCCGTGCCAGAGGGATAACATTGAAAGACATGCACGGCGAATTCGTGCGAGGGGGGGAGGGTCAGGGCGCCAAACGTCGGGGTGGGGGTTCCGTCCTCGACCCCGTCCGGGGCAACGGTTACTCCAACGACGCTAACACTATCCTGTCCCCCGCTCCTCTGCATGACAGCTGATATACCTGCTGACAACAGGCGCGCAGTGGCCGCTTAGCAACAACACGCAACCACGCTGTCCGTGTCCTCAGGCGGCACGGCACACGCGGCTCGCGCCATGCCCCCCCCCCAAGCACGTCCAGGAAAGCAGGAGAGGCGGAAACGATGGTTGAGGCATCTCACAGGGTCAGCGTGGGAGAAAGTTGTCATTGTTTCCCCCGTCACCGTGGTAACAACACCTGGCCACGCACCCCACAAGGCCACTGAAGGTGGGATGCCAGAATATGCGGGCGGCCCCGTCGCCAGCAGCGTTTGTCCACACCAGGGCAGTTTTGGAAGCGCGCCGATCTCCGGGGGGAGGCCAGAAAAGGGTTCGGCCACGTTCACCAATTGGGAGACGGGGATCACCCAGCAAACAGGAGTCCCATGGGCGACACACTTTAGCCATAACTCAACACACGAACGCATCCACGCGTTCTCTTTTCCCACCAACCGCCTTCCGCTGTCGCTGGTCTTGAGGCCGCTGCAGTGCGAACAAGATTGAAGCCATCAGGGAGCGAGCCAATCGAGTGCGACGCTTGCGTGAAACCGGTGGGAGTGCATCCAATAAACAGAGCGGCTCGTTTCCCCGCAGCAGCGAACAAGCCCATGGATATAAGAGTGTGGGCGCCCATGAAACTTCGCGGGTCGCTCTCGTCAGATCCAAGAACTATCGGCCAAACACGATCAGCCCTCAACAGGGGGGCTCCACCAAAAGACCGCACAGCATGCTGAACGGCTTCTGATTTGCAAACCACCAGCAGCGCGTAGGAGCAAGTCGTGGGAGAAGCATGACATTGCACAGAGGGCACTCGGGTCAAGACAGCATCTGGGAGGGGCACCGCAGACGGGATTACCATCGGACTGGGTTTCGGGACGCGGACGGAAGGGCGAAGCGGCGGGCCGGCGACGCGAACCGCTGTGACATGGGCGAAGCACTCCGACCGGCCCCTGGCCCGATTGGCCCGCTTCACTTCCTGTCGTTCCGCAGTGCTTTCCTCCAGCTCCTCCG